CCATCAAGCTGAAGTTATAATGCTAACCAAAGGTCCAGTTCTTGAGCCATCCCAACACTATGACAATTATATTAAACTAACGGAGTTGCTCAGTTCTCCAAAAAATTAGGATCTGCAGTGGGTAAGAGTTATTTTAGAGATGGAAAACTAACTTATTTTTGTTTTTCACAATAATCACTTCTCACAAAAGCAGAACAAGATTAGTGGAGGTTACTTCTTACTTAAGTCTTAGGAATTGCATTATAGATGATTTCCCTCAAATTACTGTGTTTTGAAATTTCATTTCGACTTACTCAGACTTCTTTTCACAAGTCTTAGAGGACTCTTCTATTTTTTTCTCTAGTTCCAACACAAGTTCCTCTTTGCTCAAAAGGGTTTGCTGTGTCTGAATCAGTTCTTCTATTACTGTTTTTAACCTGTAAGACATAGATTTCAGAAACCCATGTTGTGAATACACAAAATGTACATATTTGGGAACATTGTATTTTTTTTTCCTGAAGACAAAAAGGAGCATTACTCTTTAAATTATCTTACTCAGTGCTTGGTGATCTTTTTTTGTGGATATACCTTTGTATTTTGTTATTAACCCATATTATTACAGATGCAATACTAGCCTCTGTATACATACAAGGTTACAGAGTGATCTGCTGCCTGCAGGCTCTCCTATCAAGAATTTTTTTTCAGAATGTGTGATGACTTCTGTGAATTAATGCTTTCCTAATATATTGCTAATTTATGAGATGCTTTATGAAAGATGAAAGCCTTCCAACTCCTGAAGCACACATTAAATACACAGAATCAGTAATCAGGCTGTATTCATCTCTAGAAATAACAAAAATAAAGTTGACATTTCCTGTTATAAGAGTGATCTGTATATTTTTCTCTACAATTAACTGTTTCAAAGCCACACAATCTTTGGTAATGGTTAATTCAAAGGAAAGATAAAACTTGCATAAGAACACTCAATACTAACAGAAAAGGGGTTACTGCACATTAAAACCATTACTGACACTTTGCAATTATGCTGGCAAACATGACAATACCAAAAAGTCAAAAAATGTACACTAACATTTGCACTCTGAACAATGCAGATAAATGGCTCACATAATGATGACTTCTAAAATGTGTATCAAAATATATATGTTGACTTCAAGCAATTGTTAAACCAAGAGAACAATTTAAACAAATAAATAAGTACATGTGCACACCTCATTTCCTTCTTGGCATTCATCTATCCATCTTCAACTATCTTACTCTGCTTCTCCTCTATTTTCAAGCCCAATTTCAATAAAAAAGTTATTGAAGTAAAGAGTGGAACAAAGGCAAAATACATATAGTACTTACCACTGCACAGATCTATTGCCCAAAACCATTCCAGGCTGGGGAGTGGCACAGAAGGTCAACTGAGAGTAATTTACATTGACTCTAGGTATCTAGGAGCCACATTCCATGTCCATATATACCAAACTGAATTATTTGATTCTAGACATTGAATTAGTTCTCTCTCCTCCCGATACATTTTATGCAATGTTGATTAAACATATTCTTTATTCAGACAGTCCTGGATCTTATCTTGGAAGACTTAAATTACTATTAAAAAAGCCATATAGTGAACAATAAAAGTTTATTTCCCAAATGAACAAGCATCTGCATGTGTTTATTTTAAGATAAGGGAAATAATTAAAACATTTCTATCACAATAACTTGCCCACAGCTCCCTTTTTACTAAACATTTTTATTGTTTTTAGGCTATCACAATCTGTTTGCTGAACTTCTTAGAAATGACAATTTTCTTACACTGGGTCTCTAACTTAATATCAACTAACTTTTTTCTTTTAATACCTTGCTAAAAAAGTAATTACCAATTTTGTAACTGCAGAGACTGCTTTTTGATCAGCTTTCTAAGCAAAATTGTAATCAACATTGTATTGGCTTAATAGTTCATTTACAGGAAGTAGATGTTACATCTAATGATCAAGCATCAATATTCAAGAAATTAAAACCAAATTAATAAGATTGCTGATCACTGGAAGGTCTAAGTGTATACATGCAGAAACAACATATTAAAGTATTTTACCATTTCAAAAATATCAGATTTCATATTGCAGCATCAGATTGAAATAGAAAGTTGATGTAGTTCTCCCTAAAACTTCTGAGCTACTTTAGGAGGCTTGTATTTATCTTAGAGAAAACAAAACAGAGAAACCATATACACACTAATCTAACTTGCCTCCTTGCAGTCAAACTCCGTTTTTTGTTTTAAACAATAATTTTCATTCAAACTGCCTAGAACTGACATCTCTGCACCTGCCTTGTATCATCTTGGTTGTGGTTTCATAGAATCATAGAATCATAGAATGCTTTAGGTTGGAAGGGACCTTGAGAGATCATCGAACCCAACCCCCCTGCAGTAAGCAGGGACTGAACCTGTGAACTTGGCATTATTAGCACCATGCTCTAACCAACTGAGCTAACCCGGCTGGTCGTTTTGTCAAAGGATGTTTCTTGTGGCCTTGTATTTGCCTCCGGGATAAACTCAGTTTACAAAAAGGTTTTTATTACTATATTAGCTTTAACAACCATACAATTCCAAATTGGCAGGTTTCAATGGCATAAGAACACACAAAGTGAGACCAAAAAAAATCTAGAAAGCAGACATCTTCAAACTAGGTTCTGGCTACCTGGAAAGCTGCCTTTTATATTTCTTTACTCATTAGCCCTATTCTGCTTCAAATATCAATAAAAATAAATGCTTGTGCTTACAGAACTTCTGTTTCAGAAGCTTTTTTAAAATTACTGTAGATATTAATTCATATACCCATTGATCAACACTTACTTCATTATGGTTGCCTTCTCACAGTTTTTAATGCATGGATCTTTGAAGCATAAACTTTTATTCTGTTACACTTTTCAGAATATCTCAGTATTAGTCAGTGTTGTGGTTTAACCCCAGTCAGCAACTAAGGACCACACAGCCACTGCCTCACCCTCCCGCCCCTCCCCGGTGGGACAGGGGAGAGAATTGAAAAAAAAGTAAAACCCATGGGTTGAGATAAAAACAGTTTAATACAACAGCAGAGGAAGAGGGGAAACAAACAAACAAAAAAAAGATAAAAGAATATACAAAACAGGTGATGCACAATGCAATTGCTCACCTCCCACTGACTGATGCCCAGCCAGTTCCTGAGCAGTGCTTGCTGCTCCGCAGCCAACCCCCCCAGTTTATATACTGAGCATGACATCATATGGTATGGAATAGCCCTTTGGGCAGTTTGGGTCAGCTATCTTGGCTGTGCTCCCTCCCAGTTTCTTGTGCACCTGGCAGAGCATGAGAAGCTGAAAAGTCCTTGACTAGCATAAGCACCACTTAGCAACAACTAACACATCAGTATGTTATCAACATGATTCGCATACTAAATCCAGAACACAGCACTATGCCAGCTAGTAGGAAGAAAATTAACTCTATCCCAGCTGAAACCAGGACAGTCAGTGACAGTCATCAACATTTATCAGGAGGCACCATATTCCTCTCCTTACTTAGAAGGGTTAGCTGTCAACACTGACTTTTAACTACCTCCCTCTGTCAAAACTTTATTCATAAATATAAATTTAACTAAAAATGTAAAAGTGTGCCAGTTTTGCCATGTTTGCTTAAAATAAATTTTATGAAAACCTTTAAACAGTAATGTATGTAAAGCTGTCATTTTTCCCTGACGTACTCAATAAAACCACTGATTCAACCAGAAGTTACTGATTCTGAACCAATATACATCTTTGATTCTATTAAAAGTCTGTGAAATAAATCCACTATGTGTACCGGATTTATTGTATTTAGTAGATGCTGAAGGTAGTTCTCCTCTGCAGAAACATAATGATGTAGCATTTTGAAGATTCAAGGCCATGATCTCAGTATTAAAGATCAACTGTCAAATTTCTATTGTTTCAGCACATACAGAATGGATTTTTAAAAGGTCATACACAGTAAGTTGATGCAAATACCTGTGGGGGTTTTTTGGCTGTAGTGGTTTTAAAGCAAGACTATAACAAAATATATCTAAAACGCAGTTAACAAGGTATACAAGCAAAGGTAGTTAGAGAGAACTAAGCCGTTCTAAAAGGAAGGGTTCTCATCTGCACTAAAAAGCAATAAAAAAAAGGACAAAGAGGATAAGAATAAATAGTTTTTACAGTGCCAGGAGCTTGTGGACCTTCACAAAAACCTGCACTGCTTAATATGTTTGTAATAATAATTCAAATAAAAACACAGTTTAAAAAGTGACGAAGTGCTGACCATACAGTGTCATTTGAGGTAGGGGGAAGGGGCTGAATGTGAAGAATACAAAAGGATTATTCTGGATCTCAATACTCAATAACTGGACTGTCATTTAGAACATTAATTTCAATGCATATTGAAATAAGCAAATATATGGGGGGGGAAAATCCAAAGCGTTATTTATGCAGTGAATGGCTCTAAGCTGATCATTACGACTCAGAAATGAGATCTTGGAATTACAGTAGATGATCGCATGAAAACACTGGCTTGATACACTGCAGTGCTCAGAAAATCAAACAGAATGATTCTCTAGGATTTGTTAAAATCAAAGCAGAACAAGAATACAGGAAACCTCATTATGCCTCTCTCTAAACCACGCATCTGGTTTACCTATGCAACTCATTCATCTCAAAAACAATACAGTAACTTTGAAAACGTTCAAATAAAAATGACAAATTTGATAAAGGATATAAGTTTTGCAAAAGGACAGATTAAAGATAAAGACGGCTCTAAAAGAGAGATCACAGAGTAGGAGTATGACAGAAGTTTACAATATCACGAGCGGAAAGGAGTAGATCGTTCCTATTGTCTTCCAAAACAAGAGCTTAAGAGCCATAAAATGAAACTAAGAAGTAGCACGTTCACATAATATGAAATTAATCTCTGGAATTCCTTGACCAAATTCTGTGGACAACAGGTACTCGTACGTACTGAAACTAGACAAATTCACAACAGAAAAAAACCCTCTAAGGCTACTATAAACTACCCCTACAGCTATTATAAACAAATATGACTTCTGTCTCAAAACATTTCTGAGCTGAAAGTCATGGGAGGCTGAGAGATCATTCTGAGGCAACAGCATTGCACGATCATCCTGTTCTTGTCCTCCTCCCTAGACTTTTCCCTGTTGGCTAATGTAAGAGAGAAGAGAGTTGGTTAGGTCAATCTTTAGTCTGACCTAATACTTACGCTCAGAGTCCTAGCATAACCTATACCAGAAAGTGAACACCTTAAAGACAGCAACACTTAAAAGAGCTATTTGATTGCTGTTCCAAAAATAATATCACACCATAAAATTTCTCTCTCAAATTCACAAAAGAATTTAAAGTGGATGAATATAAGATTTGTAACAGGACACACTGGAAATTGTATTGAAAACGTGTATTTGTAGGCAAAAATGCAGACACACACTTATAAACACAAATATGCATTTCATCAGAATCATTTACTAGATAAGCAGCATTTCACCTCTTTCACTTAGACATGCTGATGTCTTATTTCTAAACAATGGGATACAGAAGACAAGCCAAACAAGAAGTTGCTTCTCTTTTTGAGCTATGGAAGGCAGAATCTTTGAAAAATTGTAATACTTTATTGAAAAGAGAGATTTAGTATATACACTTTTCCTGTTACTGTGCTGAATTACATCTACATGTGCAACATTTACATAGTTTAATCAGGAATAATCTCAATTTAGTAAAGATGGAGAATATATTATAAAAAGAAACATGTTTAAAGGGAATAGACGGGCTTTAATTATCAAGGGATCCTTTCATAAGAAAGATGAAACTGCTTCAGGACTAAGGAGAAGTCTGACGAGGGAGGCTAAAACTTCATATTACAAATGTTATTTCAATACCTATTAAGGAATGAATTCACAAGAAGTAATCAGATTGCACAGGGAAAAAAAGGGGATGATTAATGACCTTCAAAAGGAATTAATAAAATCCAGAGATGTTATGTTGAGAAAACACAGCGATGAGAATAACCTGCAGAAGACACTGCAATGTGTTTACATTTGAAATACCTCACTGCTATTAGGACTCACTATGATTTTGGTTTTCAGAAAAACCTACAAGAAATAAGGGTCACAGTTTGATTAAGCAGATGAAAAACTTAAAAAAAATTTTAAAAAGCCCACACCACATCATCGATATATTATTTGGATCAGTTATGCTTTCTAAAGGAAAAAAATTTCAAATAAGTCAAACATGGATTGAAATACAGTAGAGACAACAAAAACACCATCAAACAATGAAATTCTGAATTTTCCATTTTAAATTGCTCCAATCAATAGAAAAAAATTAAATGTATAATTAATAGTTGCAATCTCACAAATGACTGCATCAGACATTTTATGTCAAAAGTTGAGACTGATAATATAATAAGAACATAATAACCTCAGCAGGAGATTTGTTCCCCTGTAACAAATGATTAAAGGTAAAGTTGGTAAAAGTAATGAAAAGATTTAACTAGGCAATATATTAACAAAATACACAGAGAGGTAGTTTAGCACCCTGAATAGCTAAAAGCTCCATGAAATGCAATACAACAGCTACATTTGTGTTAGTAAGTTAATGTATTTTAAAGGTTATAATAATAATTAATAAGAATTTCCTTTGGAAAATGGAAGCAAACACTTGACAAAAGTGAAATAAATATATTCATGAAAATTTTCTGCATGGCAATTTGTATCACTGACTACATCACTGTACTCAGTGGTTTCATCAAAAGATTTCAGTATTTTTCCTAGTACTGAATGTGGAAACACTTTTTGGAAGATGAATCAGTATGTTCCCAAAGAGGACTCATGATAGATGTAGGGCATTGTATAAAGTAACTGGCAAGGAGACGAACATACACTGAAGGTGCTGGCAAGTTTTTGGTGGGACTGGGGAGGAGTATTTTGTAAAGGAACAGTAAGACCAGCATGGGAGTCTATAGCATGAAAATACTATTTTTAGAAACTGGATCTTAAAAATGAAGACGCAGCTATGCAATGATGTGGGTGAGCTTAGATACAATGTCTAACAGCACTTCCAAAGGATGAAAGGTTTGTAAAGAAAGACTCACGTGACTTGTAAACTTTCTGCTGTTAGATTATTCCACATGATCTCATTAGCTTGAAGGTTTTCATTTTCTTCTAGTAAAGACGTATCAAACTCTATTTCTTGCTCAACAGCTTCTGATGACCTAATTTAGTAAATAAATATTATATTTTGAAAATGAACATGTATCTTTGAGTAAACCATAAAGCGAATCATCATGCTTTGAATTATTTTAGTAACTAGCATATAGTTAAAATTACATATGAAATAAAAGAAAAGGTAGCAATTCAATACATATTCTTTTTCCTTTGAATAAAGACCAGTCTTAAAATCATACCAGATAACAAAATCGCATACAACTCTGAATCAAAATCACAGCATAACCAAGGTTCTCAAGGGGTATCAATGTGAATGGGTCCACTCTTAGCTTATCCTGCTATAAACCTGCATGTGACGATTATCAATTTGCACAGAACAAAAAAGATAATGCAAGAAGTCTTAGGACTATTTCTGCATATACTAATACAGAGTAACAGTTCAATAAATGGCAAATACAGTTTACTTTTAAAGTAAAAAACTTTCTTGCATTATCTGCATCTCTGTAGTCTCAGGCACTGCTCAACCTGCAATTAACTGAAGAGTACACAGAGGTACCTAGAGTTCACTTTAAAGTAAAATTTGGACAATAAGAGAAATAAAGCAGAGAAACTTAGTTTAGCCCAGAATGCAAATTGCATCCAAACACAGAGTAAATTAGCTCACACTGAATCTGGACTGTCATGTATAGTCTGCTGTCAGTACCAAAGTTATGGTTCTTCACATGTAATAACGCTAACTGGAATTTTGTTTTTCTAGAGCCAGACACAGAGATGGATGGTTAAAGAAACAGGTTAAAAACTTGACTTTCAGCCATCTTTCTGTACATGCAAGTAGAACAGTTTTCAAAATAGGATAAAGCTTTACAAGTAACAATGTAAAAGAAACCAAACAGAAAGAAATTCAACTCTGATCACTTAAGCAGTGTTGCACTTTAATACAGGGTTTTCTCAAGAAGAAGCATGAACAAGCACACCAAGATAAAAATGTGTACCTGTGAGTATCTATGAAGTCATTATACTCAGAGTCAGGATCTATCTGTTCAACCGAGGTCTGGATCTCTTTATGGACATTCACAATCTCCTCTGTTACAAGACTGGTGATCTGGCTATACTCATCCAAGATCCCTTTTCTAGAGAGAAAAAAAAATTCTAGTGTATAACATGGCACTGAAGGTACAGAAGGCATTGAAGATGCTTCAAACTTTCAATTTGCTGTTTCTACAAACTCTTGTTGCAACTGGCTAAAAAGGGAAAAAATAAGACAATATATTACTCAAAGAAATAACAGATCAACTGTGGCCTTTTCTTTACAGATTGGCTGTAAGTGAGAAGTCTCTTAAGACCATGCTCCTTGTATTGATTTCAGTGCATATACACACAGGGTAGCTAAACTAAAAACTGTAGAGAGTACAATGAAAAGGAATGTGCACAGCTCATTGATGACACTCTTCTTCACAAAGGACTTATCATGCTTGTCATAACCTACATTAAAGCTTCTCATGTTCTGACTGACAAAATAAATATATTCTGGCATAAGGCAAAACAAGCCACAAAATATTGTGCACATTTCTTTTAAAAACTTCTTTATCGTTTTAACTATCTTCTTTCATATATTTATTTTATGATTTGGTCATTCAGACAAAAATAAGCATAAATCACAAGTTAGCATATATTTACAAGAAGAAACAAAATCAAGCAAGAAGTTCCTGTAAGAAAGTACAAGCCACCCAGACTTGCCTTTACCTGCTTCTGAGAGTGGGAAAAACCAAGTGAGTACAGAACGGTAAAAGAATAGGTGACATTGTGCCACTACTCTTAATAGCATCCAGTGACACATCCTCAGAACACCCTCCTATTCTCTTTAACTTTTAGCCTTCCATAAAGGAACCCTCATAATCATTTTCTATTTCATTTTTACCTTTGACAAACTTGCTAGCTTGCCAGGCTCTAAAGCATGGTGAGCTTTCTTAAAATACTGATGAATTTTGGCCAGCCCAGAGGAACATGCAGAAAAAAAAGTATCAATAGATTTTTCCTGGATAAGATCTCAAGTACATTTATTCTGTAAATAAAGTTTTGTGATTGGATTATTTCAATACTTTTTCTGAGGAGAAAACAGGCACGAGAAGGCATTAAATCTTGCCTTGCCTGTGAACAACGTGTGAAAGGTTCCAGAAAATAGTTCAAAGAGTGTGACAAAAAGATAGGCAAATGTCAACTACCATAATGCCATATCAAAGAGAAAGGGAATCTATGTCAATTACCAAAAAAAAAAAAAAAAAAACAACAACCCAAAAAACCAAAACCATTAGCAATGCTAATCTGCACTTCTTCAAGTTTACTGAACTAATTCATCTGCAAAATCAGGATTGTTAAGTAAGTAAGTTTCACACAGATGGCCATGCCAAGCTGTACACCTGAAATCACCACTTCTTTTTGTACACCACAGATAGCAGAAAAGAGTAATTTTCCAATACATTCAGATCTCACAAAAAATGTCTATGTAGAGACAAAACTTTTTTTTCCAGGTTTTCACTCCAGACGTAGCAAAGATAAGCAGGTTAAATCGGTTCTTGTTCCATCATAAAACTCTTCAGTGAAATAACTCACAATTCTGAAAAAACACCTTAATTACAACACACAAATTAACTGTAGCCTTTTGCTGTGATTATACACACAAAATTAAAAGGACTGTACAGACACTATTCCAAAGGTCTATGTCATTTCAATACCTGCACAATAATCAAAGGAATTAATATGATACTGCATGGGGCAGTTAATGGTGTCTGTACCACATAAGCATGTAAAGCACGAAATCCCCAACTCTCCCTCACTTCCTGTGTGCTGAAGTCAGGATGAATGTAGCCTTCAGAGAAGGTAAGAAAATGATTTAAAGACGACTGTCTCACATCTAAATGAACAATACCTACAAAAAAAAAAAAGTAACTGCCCTTTCTTTTAGGCTAAGTGATTTAAATAACACCCCAGAAAAAGACCTACAGAACAGACCCCCTCACCAACTCCCATTCTCCAGGAAAGACAGAGACACCATAGTAGTTACAACCCAGAAAAGAGGGCTTAAAGTCCTCATTGTCTGTTCTCCCAGATCACCAGTTTGCACATCTTCTGTAATGATGGAAAAAATGATCTTTCAGGAAAAAGGTAATTGTATTTTTAAGGTTGAATTCCTTAAAGTGAAATCAGTTTTATATAATCCTATTACTTCTCCCACATATATGATTACCCATGCATCTGACTGGCCCTTTTCCATAATGACTTTCAAGACAGTTGGCCAGTTTAAACCGAATTTGTTGCTGGTGGAATTTCATAAAAATAAGATTACCAGAGAGGCAACAAATTTGTCAGTATGCCAGGTGATGGACAAAGCATGAGCTCAGCTATAGACATTGCAGTTGATCTGTAAGGCTTTGAAGTTTTGTGAGAAGGTGGTGTCTTGCTAGAATGTTTACGTAACCACTCAAAACTACTGTCTGCATTATTTGGATAGACTTTTCTATGCACAATTACTGTCAATTGACAGATGAAAACATCTTTTTTCGTTATCCCTTGATATACAATTAATTAATCACAGTTTATTATTTTCAAATAATCCTGTAAGTTAATTAGAATACTACACATATAAAATTCTGCAAGTTATAGATATATAAGAGTACATCTTACAGGGCTTTAATCATCTCTTCTTGCATCTTCTGTAGCGAATCAAGTAACAGAGGAAGCGTAGTATCATAATACTGGTGCTGATGTAACTGTGCTCCTTTCAGTGCCAACACATACTGATTATGCAACATATGAAGCTTCATAGTGGCTTTATCACACCTATCTTTGGCTTTCTCAGTCTCCTTTCCTAAGAGAGAACAAAAAAAAAAGGAAAATGCACATGGTTTAAAAGTATACAAACTTGTAGATGACACAAATCTAGTAGATTTATGATAAGCTTGCACCTTTTTCCACAGTAGTCTTTTCAAGGTAATTCTCTGAAGAATTCTCAAGGTAAAATCTGACTGTTTTCAGGTCACTAGTAAGACCAAATGTCTCGGTTTTCTAATTAAAAGACTAAGTAAGAAAAAAATGTTGTATTTTCTTCGAGCAGAAATGTGAGAATTCTTTATCTAAAAGTCTATGAAAACCACTATCTACACAGGTATAAAAATAATATAACTATGAAGAATAAAGAACAAAACTCATACACATGACTATCACAAAGCTAGTATTTTATTTGCCTCAGAGCATATAAACATTTTTTGAATGAAGAAGTAAGAGATGTCCTACTAGGTCAGATCCATGATTCACTAAAAATCTGTCAGTTATTGCAAGCAAAAATTCTATTGCTACACACCATCCCAATAAAGCAATGGTGCAGTCTACGTATGAGTAGCTGAACTCTCACGCCATTACTCCTGTCCAAAATGGGCAGCTTCTCTACTACAGCTTAACATTTCCTTATCACTGTTGGTATTCTGATCAGGAGGTTGGCTCTACAATCTCAGCTCTAGATAGCTCTCTCACTGTTAGACAGTAGAAGTCCTCAAGTTCATGCTGACAAGACCAGTTCAGTGCTGAATCTGAGCTACAAGGTACTTCAAGAGGTCACCTATTCTATTCTTTGCCACAGTAATTGAACAACTATGTGGTGTATGTTTTTATGATTTTTTCCTAAGATCTCCAATGACAGACAACTTCCTAGTACTATTCAGGTCTGTGCTGTGCCAGCTGAAAGCATTCCCCCACCTCCCTGCCCCTTCACTCTCCAATGTAAATCTTTATTGTTCTAATTTAAACCCTTACTTACTTCACATGTGCCATGACTATTAAAAATAGTCTACTGTCCTCTGCAATCCACTTTTTATATATCAGGTTACATACTCTCCTCTTCTGCCCAGTCTTCTAAACTTCATACTAACGGACCTATAGATCTTCCCTTATAAATCCTGTTGTCTTTTTGCAGTAGACTGGTGCACAATCTTACACAAGTGCAACTTTGGTAAAGGCTCAAAGCCAAAGAATAACTTTACATTCTAGATACTTCTGGCTCATTAAAAAAAAAAATTAAAAAAGAAAAAATAAAGAAAAAGAAAAAAGCACATGTTTTTTGAACACCATAAAAACATGGCATCACTGACTAGTTTTGCTTTGGTATCTGACCCTGCCAAGTAACACTATTTTCTGAGACTCATCTCTCAGTTTATCAAATTATTTTTAACTCTACAGCTGCTCTCCAATGCACTTTCAATCCTTTCTAGGCATAGCGGTACCTGGGAATTTAATAAACAAACTCTGAAACAAAGTAATGAAACACTGAAAGACCACTCAAACCTAATCTCCATATATATCCTGCAATGTCCCATAGGATACATTATTCTGACAGGACCTCATTAACAGCCATTCTCCAAGCAGCTTTATGCAAACAGTTTTGCACCTCTACTAGAATGTTTTGAACTTGATCATGCATTAACTCAGTGTTCAGGAGCCATCGGACAAGACGTTATTTAGCAAAGACCTAGACAGTGTTATTATGCCACTGATTAAATCCACATAAACTGGTATGCAGTTCTTTCACCTCAAGGAGGACATATTTGAAATGAAAAAGGTTTACAGAAGGGCATCAAGAGTCAGAAAGGTAGGAAACACAAGGAATCCAGAAGGAATGACTAAAATGAGGACTCCTGAAGCACCAGGAGACTGAGGAGCAACGTGGAAGAAGGGACACACAGTTAACAGACCTTTCTAACCTCCTTCAATGTAACAACTCTAAAGCATTATATGGAAATAGCATGTACTTTGTTAAAAACAAAGGATGTTCTTCTTCAACTAGCATGTAGCTAACCTATGGAATCTTTTGGTCAAAGTTACTGCACGCATGAAAAACTTAGGTGGTTTATAGGGAATGGACATGCCTACACAAACCCCCCCCCGAAGAGCTACTAAGAACTAAGAGAGCACTTCTGACTCAGACACTCCCTAGGTAACAAATTACCCTGAAGTTGAGACAGCTGTCTATCTGTTTGTCCCCTCACATGGCTCTCTAGACATTTGCTACCTTGCCACTGTCAGCTACATTTTAAACACAGAGTAATAAAAATTACTTTTAAAGCATATTATGTCTATCATTTAATTGAAAACAATCTAGCTGCTGACCTAATTTTTTACGTGGAAGGAACAGATTTCTTACACTATAATTTAGCCAAGTTACTCTACACAACAAAGACAAAACACGTCTCCAGAGTTGTCACCAGAGAAGTATTTTTCATTTAGTTATGAATGAAACTTTAAAAATTTCTGTAGAACTGTTTTGGAGAGACAACAATCTCAACTATCTCTAAAACTTTTGCCAGAGAAAACAGGTTTTGGCTTTGGCAAACAATCAAAACTCATGTTTCATGGGAAGACACTGGGGTTTTTTTTCCCCCAAACATAAAAACATTGCACTATTTATTTCTAAATTAAATATAGATCATTTGGAGGAAAAAAAAAATCCAACACATCACGCCCAGAATAACATCCCAGAAATTAGATACCACCAAACATGTGCATGTCTGACACCAGTGTACCAATATAATAGGATGGTATACAACCCCATTTTTGCATCTACCTTGAGGACTAAATTCCTTCTCTATACACATTAATCCTCAGCAGAACACCTCAAATAATTTCACAGTAATTCAAAGTATCATACACACTCAGTTTCTAAATACAGTAAGCTACAGTGTCAACCTGGTCATCTGCAGACCAAGATGTATACACTATCCTGGAGAATGAGAGGCATGTGAACATGTGGAAATAATGGAAGGCGACTGAAGAGGGTTTGGAAGGGAAGAGGTCAAGTAGTAGTTACAGTATAGGGACTGGATGAAAGAGGAAAGGATGAGGCAGCTGGAAATCAGAGCCGGAACCACCAAGTTGTGCCTGCCCTGGCCCATTCCCTTGGGTCATACACTGGCCAGAGAAACAGGAAGAGGGAGACAAGATGGTAGCAGAGGGAGAAATGCTGGATTACTTCTTGGGTTTATTGTATATTTGGCCACTCCTACTCAAGCATGCCCTAGATTACATAATCCAAAATTATCTCCATATATCATAGTTTAAGAGCTTAAAACCTACAACTTGTCCATGCACATCTTTAAAATACATCTCCTATCAGCTTTCAGCTTACCAAAAATCACCATATGTCAAATTATACCTTGTACCATCAGTACAGGCTTCTGACCTATGAACTACAACAAACAGCTTTCAACAGCTAAACTAAGGGGAAAATTTATACTAAAAATGATCACAACCACATAACTAGAGACTTACCAATATTATCTATCTTTCAGAAACCTCACTAATGGCTAAACTATCCCATTTTCCCACCTGCCTAAATTCCTCTGCTATACACTATTCCTCAGCAGAACACCTCAGCCAATTGCAAAGTAAATCAAATTATCATATACACTCAGCTTCTAAACACAGCCTTTGGACCTGCAATTAATACAAGAAACACAGCCACAGTATTATTTCCATATTGTAATTTAGTTTTTAAAGCAGCAAAATGCAGTGAGGCAGAGTACACAGTTGTTCTGCATGTCAATTAGCACAGAGGAAAACATCCAATTTTCTTTATCTGTATAATGAATTTCATAAATAGATCTAATTATAATTCTACTGCCATCAGTTGTTGACAAAACTGTTTAATGTTTATAGAAACTGACTGTATACAATATGTCATGCCATAAACAGTATTATGAAGCTTGCAAAATTCAATTACAAAAGTTTGTCATTTGCAAAGAAAAGGCTGGCATTCTTTTTAAAACATTCTAGATAGTTGAGTATTTCAATTTCTAACAAAAACTCTTTTAAGATTTTACAACATACAGTACAACAGAGACATCCAGAAAAGAATGTTTAGGGGTATTTTCTATTAAAAAGGCAGATTTGCTATTCCAAAGTTCTTACAATCATAAGCATTAGTCTCTTGTAGTCTCATATTCACTGAGAATGGAAGAGCAGAAACTGGATAGGACAACCAACTGAGACCAACTGAGGAAAATTTCAGCTCATAATGTCCACTTCATCTTTTTTTAAATAAGCATCAATGTACAGTGCAAATGCCTCAAAGAAACTGACTTTCAGAAAATAACTATTGCAAATACAGAAAATTTTCATACATGTTTTGGATTAAAAAGAAATAATTATGCTGAAGTGCTCAGGTTTTTACCTCCTTACAACTTTTTCTGGTTGGTCAAAAATTGTAAGTCAAGGCTTGTATTCCTTTATATGTTCACTACATTTAGTTATCACTGATTTCAATAAAATTTAACACTTGTGAGGTCTTCAAATTTGCATTCTGGATTTTGACATTTTATTCAAACAGCAAAATTCTGACTCTGTGGAATACAGTGTAAAGCACCCACTAATTCTCATAGCGTAAGGATCCACCTCCTGAAGTTTACCTGTAGTGTGACATCTAACACTCAAGTCAAGACTTGGCACAAGCTTAGCTGTTCAGATTTCAAATCCAGCTTCATGATAGCATAGGTTAAACTAATGATTGAGGCTTACATCTAATGTTCTTGTTTCTGCAACAGAAAATTCCAGTTAAGCTGCTTTAGTTACAGCCCTTCAGTTAAACCTTATGGGCAAGTAAATGCCGAAAAGACAAAATTATTTTCTTAAAGATCTATTCTTTTCAAAGAGAAAGAGCATACAGTGAAAATCTCAGGTTTGACTAACATGAAACACAAAGCTTTCCCCTCAAAATCAAAAGCTCGAACAGAAACATTTTGGATTGGTTAACTATAGAAAGATGTCATAAAGAATTCCAGAACTCAATGCAGTAAGAAATTATTTCTTTATGTCTACATTGTA